GCTCTGGAGGGGGCAGCGGGACAGCCGGAGGCCACAGCGGCCTCTCCTCCAACTTCAATGAATGGTACGTGTGAGGGGCTGGTGCCTCTCTTCCCTCTCCCCCGTACCCCGTCCCCGTCCCCCTCCTAGGCACACGCCGGGAGACGCCTTGTGATCGTGTTGTTAAAATTGCGAAATCTGATTTTTATGATGATGAACATGATTTTACCAGCAGAAGGATTTTTAAACGTTTTTTTAAGAAAAAAAATCTAGGCATGAAAAGCAGAATATCCCTCTAGAGTCTTCGAAGCTGAAAATATAAAATAAGTTTAAAAAAACCCACAAAAATATTGAACCAAACCTTCCTGTCAACTCCTTTACCCACTTTCCTTCCCATGGTCTTTCCTTCCCAGTCCTCTGACAAACTGTACATAGCGGATTCATTCCTTCTCCGAGGTGATTTTAATGGCTTCTTGGTGTATAGAAGTTCGTCCATTTGTAAACTCCGGATTGCGTTTTTCCCTCCTTCCCTCTTCCCTTCCCCAAGTGATGGGCTTTTTTTTTTTCCTTTTCTTTTTAGTTTACCCGGTTTATTTTAAATAATGTGGAAGAAAATGGTTTATTTTGTATTGTGGTATTGAATATTGTGTTCCTTTTTATGAGGCAACTTGATTGTAAACTTCATGCAACTATAGACTGGAAAAAAAAACCGTGCCAAAGTCTCCCTTCTGTTTGTTCAACATGCATCTCATAGCACACACATACACACCACCAACGCTTGTGAATGTATTTTTCTGTTAGCTGGGTTTACATGTGATGTTTTAGTGCTTTTGCAAGTTCAATTTGTTAGTTCCTGTATGAACGATTGTGGAAGAAAAATAAACGTCGTGCTGTTAGCTTTTTCCGTAATAACACCCTTCTGTAAATACCCGTTACCATATTTATCCATTTGTAATTAAATTATGGTATTAACTTGCTACAGAGGAAACAATATTTATAAAGAATGTTTCTTAACTATAAATATGTACAATTGTGGGCATAAACTGTTTCAGATTTTTTATTTGAAGGTTTTAAGTGGTTTGATCATTTCTTGTGATTTGTTTTGAGAGTAATGCATACAGAAATATAATAAAATGTGTTGAAACTGCATGAACACACTTTTTTTCCTAGTACAGTTATTAAAGAAAACAGGAAAGGAGACAGATTGAGGTGGAGAAAGGGTATGGGTATGGGAAGTTTTGCCATCCATTGGATAGGGTGCCCAGGAAGGTGTATGGTATGCATAGAAAAGAGGCCAAACTGCCCCTTTGGCTGAAAGTCTCAAAATTATCTCCTACATCCCTTTGTTTAGTAGCTGAGAATGAATTAAATTTTTGGAAAGCCCCTGTGAGGAATGGCGGCTGGAACCTCCAGAGTTTCTAATGGCTCCATTATCTGAGGGAATGCCTTTCTTTCTTTCAGCTATTTGGACTGGATTTAAGAGCACTAAACATTTCCTTATTCTTTGTTTTCCCCCTTCCCTGCCCCCTTCCTCTCCCTCCCTCTGAAAAGCTGAGGTACAGTTATTTTTAATTGCACGTTTAAAACTGAGCTGAGTACTTTGTTTTTGAACTTGGCCCAATGATTATAGTATAAAAGAGCTCATTTCTACCAGAAGTTTTTTTTTCCTTGAAATTTTCAGCAAAGCCTTGCTCAAGACATCCTGCTTATCTTAAGCAAAGCAGATCTGAACAGGACTTTCAAGAGAAAGTGATAAAGAGAATACATTTTAATTTTTTTTTAAAGAAGAGGATAGGGAAGCAACCACCCTTGGCCTCAAAGGAAAGGGAACTGCTGCAAGAATTCAGTAAAATAAAACAAGACAGAAATTGCCAGGTGGAAGTAAGTAATCTGGAACACTAGCTACTAGCTCTTCTGGAACTCTTGCAACTTCCAGCTCTCCCCCCTACAGGAATTGGTCAGTTTTCAGACAAGACTCTAAGGAAAAAGGCAAATATTTTTGATAACCAAGGGTGTAAGGACAGAAAACTATTTTTTGAATCCCATCAAGACCTTTCTCTCCCTGGGTATCCTTGAGGCTTGGAGAGGCCCTAGCCCATCCAGAAGCTATGCTCCCAGCAGCGAGAAGACCCGGAGGCAGCGAGTCAGCTACACCTCCAAAGGATTTCTTAGCACTGCTCTGAGCTGAGCCAGCAGGAACCGAAAATGTGGGAGGGTTGAAGTATTCTTCCCCTGGGGCCCCCACTGAGCCATAGAACCGCAGCCCTGCCCGTGAGGTGGTTTGCAGGGAGAAAGGCCCTGCTGACCTGGATGCTACACTACCTGTTCAATGGGGAGGAAAGCTCTCCATCCAGCCCCAGGCCTAACACCAGGCTCACTCTCCCCAGTGGCTCTGTGAGCTGCTTAAGCACCAACTCCTGAAGCAATCAACTCTCTATTAAAATCGAATTTATTACCCCTAATAATATTAAGCAAAATTATTAAAATAATTGGCATATGTTACTGATCCTTGGGAGAGTTCATTGAACACATTATAAGCTGCGAAAAAAAATCATTTAGGATTTATCAAAGCCTGTCACCCGTGGAGGGGGGAGCAGGGAATCATTAAATATTCATCATAATTTATGCAAGAATCAAATGGCCTATTTCTACTGTTTGAAACTTTTTAATTTGAGGGTGGGATGTTGGTTTTGAGACATCCCTCAAATCGAGGAAGGACTGGATGAGGTGTGGGGAGGAACAACTTTAGCATCACTCAAGGCTTTGGGGCTTTTTTCCCTCCTCTCTCTCTTCAGAATGGGGAATGATGAGCTGGGCCTTGAGGTGCTTCTGCTTGGGTCTAATAGATCTGAGGGAGAGCTACTGAAGGCCGGGTATTTAAATCCGGGGAAGTTGACCCTAGTTTCCAGCAGGGAAACAAACTAGGAAAGGACAAGGCAAGGAAGGTCACAGCTCAAAAATGGTTTACCAGCCCACCCTAGAATGGAGGGATATAGAGTAGGGGGTGGAAGGGTGAAGCAGCTTTCCAGCAAAATGGCTCCTAGTCCCTCCCATCCCACGGCTTTGTCCAGCCTGACGACAAGGCCTAGTTTCCCTCTTCTGCCTGTTCTTACAACCATTAGAATCTCAGAGTGTGGATGAAGGGAGAGCATTAAGGGGATCCATGATCCCAGAATTGCTCCACTGAATTCAAAACGGGGACTTGGGGTGCCAAAGGTTGCCCGATCCCCGGGCGCCTGGGCTGGAGCTGAGCAGGCTCGCGAGGGTCCTCCTCCTCTTCCCCGAACCCCTCCTGTAAAAGCACCTGAATGCTAACCTGCTCCGGCCTGGACTTCAGAGCCACCGCCCCCCGGAAGCGCGCTCGCCTCCCTCGGGGCCCTCGCGCCGGGCTCCTGGTTCCCGCCCGCGGGAAGGCCTGACTGCCGAGCCCCTAGGCCGGTGTCTGCCCACCACCACCACCGTCAACTTGAACTTCGGGGATCCAGAGCTCCCTCCCTTCGTGCCCGGCTCTCTCCAGCACCGAACAACTTCCCTTAATGGGACATTCGCTTTATCCGGAGGCGGCTGGAGCTCCCTCGGGAGGCCCATCATCATTATTATTATTAATTATCCTGATCCTCCCTGCATTATTAATGACCACAATGATAACTGGCATGCATATCAAGCTTCTCCCGGCTCACTGATGTCCTACGACGTTTCCGGCGGGAGGAGGTCATTCTCTGAGCAGAGGCCTCCTCTTCTGTTCCGGACGTGGCCAAGGTGAGGTTGACCCCCGACGGGATTCTGGTAAACAAAACACCTCCCAGGCCCTGCACACCCACCCCACACCCACCCCACTGCCCCAGCCCCTTTCCTCTCGGTCTGGCCCCTTAGCTCTTCCTCCACCCCACCCCCTAGCTCCTTTGTCTCCCTCTCTCTCTTTCTCTCTCTCTCTCTCTCTCTCTCTCTCTCTCTCTCTCTCTCTCCAGACGGATGTTTTCAGTCTCAAGTGGTTTTATCTTCCGCACAAAATCCTGAGATCAAGGGCAGATCACAGGCTGGACCAGAGACTTGGGTTTCCCTGGACTCTGCTATTGTACCTCTCCGTGTTGGGTTGGGACTGGGGTAGGTGTGTCAGGGTAGGGCCTTGGTGAGCACTGGACAGGGGTTCACTGAGTACCTACCAAGGCCTCAAGTACCGGCCTTACCCTATTCAGTCTCTGCCACACAAAGATGTCAAAGGGCACATGAGGCAAAGGAATAAAAGGCCTTGCAGTCACACCCCAGCAAGACCTGGCTGGACTTGGATGGATTTACATATTATTTTTATTTTATCATGCTCAAACAGATGCATGCTTCAGAAAGCCACTCTCAAGATCCAAAGTAAAGGTTCAGTAACTTCTTACTTGTGGATTGGTTTGATCATAATCTGATACCATTCTGCTAATCTCAGAAAGTTGGTGCTGAGGCTACTGCTACCCTAGTAGGCCACAAAGCACAGTTACCGTTTTTAACTGGCAGCTCTGGGGGGAGCTGGGAGAAATGTCACCCTTTCCTTCCCCTCCTCTCCCCACTCCCAGCTGATGATGGCTGCTTTTGTTGTTGTTGTTGTTGTTGTTTTCATTTTAGGGAGAGGAGTGGAGGGAAGCCACCCAGATATTTCCAACTTGAATCCAATGGTCGAACGTTTATTAAGCATGGAGCAGAGCCCAGCCTGCTGGGCTTCCCAGGGACGCAGAAGCAGCGGCGGCAGTTTGAACTGGGGGTGTTGCAAAAGAGAACTCCTGTAAACCCCCACCAGAGCAGACTAAGGGGCCGAGTTCACGGTCAAGGCCGTGGGGTGACTGGGGCCCTCGGGCCAGGTCCCGCCCCTGAAGGCCATAGCCGCGGGCTGGGGACCTCCCACTGCCGCCCCGCCCCCAGGGGCTCAGGCTCGGAGCCCCGGGGGCCAGAGCCGCCTGGCCGCACTCCCCACCCGAGCCCCCTCTCTAGCTTGCCCTATTGTTATTGTTCCCAGGGGAGGACGAGCTTTGGAAGAAGTGACTGAGCGGCTTCGCCTCTTGGTGCTCACGGCCCGGCCTTCGGCTCACGGCCCAGCATCTTTCCTGCCCCCGTG